TTTTCGTGAGTCCCCTAACAAGTCAAATCGGAGAACAACAAAGGAGAGATACATTCAGTGTCACTTCAAGACTTTTAAACAAATCATGCAGCAAATCAAACTGTGACTTCTTCATGTTGTGCATTGACCAGTTAGAATGACATATGCATGTTTTAGAATGCATTCTGTTTCCGAACTGGTGATAGACATTGATTAATCTGATGAAGACCACCTCGTTGAACGAATATATTTCACTCAACTTCAGTTTACTTAACATTAATCCTCATCCTCCCAGTAATATTTTGTGCTGATTGACGAATTATGAATACGTCAAGAAAGTAATCGATAACTGTATTCCAGATCAGTTTGATTGCTAAATACTTGAAAGTGCATTATCCTATTTCTTCTACTATTATAGGTTCATTCACTGATAATTAAACTGAAACATCTGTCAGTCTACACTGATCTGATGGTTGATATCAGTTTACAGTGGGTATTAATCACTATCTACTTAAATCTCATAATTATAACACGATCAGAATGTTGCGATTATTGTCATAAGTTCCCGTATTAGAAATGACATGATCGAATGCTCACATAATAATAATAGGATAACCAGTTAGCATAGTCAACAGAAACCCTTACACCATATTGGATGTAGATTACTCTATCATTAATATTTTCTTCATTAAGATGCATCCATTTGCTTCAATTAATAAATGATCTGGGTGGAACTTGAAAACATTTCAATACTGTTAATTAGATTTTCAAAATGGATCAATTCAGAATGCAATAGATATGGGATTTCCAAAACTTACTTCTTTTTCATTCATCAACAATGAATCTAAATAGAATTCTAAAACTGTATTTCATTATTTATCTACAATTTCAATTTGTTCGTGTAACATTAAAAGCATTGATACTTTAATGGCCCTGGTACAGACTTCAATTATATCGCACGAATGTTTGCTGTCGAAATATGTATCCTGACTGTTCTCGTATATAACAGTTGACTTAGATTGCATTAGTCAATAATGGAATTAAATAAATAACGAGAATAGACTTTTGAATACACATATTTTGTATAATCGTTCATCCAGACAAACGAATAACAGATAAACGAAACGAAGAGAAATGAGTAGAGCGGAACGTCATGCAGTGGAGAAGGCGTGTGACCAAACACCCAGTTAGTCAACCGTTAATCATTATTTATAGTCACACGAAAATTAATTACAGACATGTGATGAGTAATGGGATATGAAGTGTGCACACACATACGCTAATATAAGCAAAGTCAAGGTTGATAAGCGAATAATTAACAAGGTCAAAATATGGCTCAAGAAGAATGAGTAGATAGGCCTGTCCGAAATCTAGAATAAGGTATATGGGCTAAACATAATACAATAGTTAATTAGATTATGTCTCATTTTACACGTTTATAATGTAGTGAACGAGAACACAAGTATGGACAAGTAGATGTATTTGAACAAAATTACAGTACAACTTAGTAAAATCTAAAATCCATACAATAAACACTTCATTTGCAAAATGTCAATCAATCATCTCAGACTTTACTGTCAAAATTGTAATACCGATAGGAGAATTCTAGAATAGTGAAAGTGTCACAAAGCTTTCGTATGAATATTCTAATCATAGTATATGTAACATATGTGACATGTGGTAACTAATCAGTACAAAATAACGGGGCACCTGTAAATAGTAGAATCAAAGCTGAACAAATATAAACGAACATTAGATAAAATTCTGATCATTTACTTAGCAGTGCAGTGTAATTATCAGCATTACTATCGTAAAGATGTGGAACTGAATGTTCAAAACAAGACAAAACAAAATTTAAAAATATACAACATTAGCTATGGTTCCAATACAATTACAATTACAATTACTTCGGTAAAACTATGCCGAACTGACGACCTTAAGTGACTTATTGGTCAATCAGAAAACAACATCTAGTTATAAAACAATTAACAAATTTAGAACAAAAACAATAAAACTACAGTGAAATCGCGGTTTTCATATGATAATCAATCCGTTGCATGTTAAATTATGTCTTATCTTAAAAGAAAAAGGTTGAGTTTGCATATAAGAACTTGGGTTAGTGTTGAGAGTTAGGGTTATAAACCTGTGAGGATTTTGTCACCACCTGACATCAGCTGTGATGCAATAATGCTTCATCACTTCCTTTTCAGCAACTTAAAACATTTAATATTGAGATTTAGAATCAGGAATTAGAGTGGACGGATATTATTTACTTACAAAAACAGTCTTGACTGTTTTCTGAATAAAAAAATTACTTCGAAACACAATCAACATCGGGAGCAGGGATCTCTTGTATTCTAACTGAAGTATCGTATCATATTCACAATTTGGTTGCATGGTAGGTATTTTTTAAAATCAATTTTAAACATTTAAGAAACCAAACATCCCCAGTTTTTTTACTTAGTAATAAAATATGAGTCATCTTTCACTGTGCTATTAAATTCAATCAACAATACACGAGATACTATACTGATTCTTTCTGATACAATAAAGGCAGTTAGTATTCTATACTTCACCATTAATTATTCTAAAACTATCTATACTTTCTGAATAAACAGGGGTCTATCCTGATTATTGACAAAACCAAATTAACAGTACCATATTAAAAATCTGAATATATTGGTGGAGTCTTGTTCTCTGAGATGGATGCTTTGGTCATGGAGCTTTCATCGTTCTTCTGAACAACATTGTCAGCAAAAACTTCAAGTACGAACTAATTGTTCCAATTTATCCACATATAGTTCACAGTTTGTCCTGTAGACCTTGATCTTGAGTAGTTATACACAACAACGGTTAAGAAGATATGATGGGACGACATGGATTGACTAAGAGAAACTGATGAGAATAGCCAGAGACTTGGGAATATATGTGCATTCAACAAAATGGTTATAGGTGGCGGAATATACCTCCACAAATACATGAACAATGCTACATGGGTCTCATCGAATCACGCTACATAGAACCATATCGATCATATTTGCATCCTATTCAGACGCGAAGGCAAGGTTCGGCAAAGCAAGAACAGTATTCCTACAGTTGAAGAACATACGGAACTCAAAACAACTGTCAACCAGTATCAAAGTCACAATATTCAATACGTACGTCAAGACAGTGAGATCTTCTGTACCTACGTTTTTACACCTGTTACCCATCGTAAAAAAGCATACGCCGCTCACCAGCATTCTCCATCCAACACTGTCCTGGGCAATCCTTTCAAGCTCTTTCCAGATTTTATTCATCCTTTTCATATCTGATTCTATTTCCTGATGTAATGTGTTCTTTGGCTTACCTCTTCCTCGCTTCCCTTCAGGATTCTAAGTTAGCGCTTGCCTCGTGATACAGTTTGATGATTTGCGTAATGTCTGTCCTATCCACTTACAACGTTGTTGCTTAATTTCCTCTTCAGTCCGAAGCTGGTTTGTTCTCCTCCACAGTAAGCTGTTGCTGATGGTATCCAGTCAACGGACTGTAGGAATGTGGCCCGTGCCTTACCAATCCTCGGCTTTACGTTTACATCTGATCTTATTTGCTCATCGATGGGAAGAAGGATTCTACATATTCCAGAGTTTCGCCATCAAGTGTGATTGAGTTGGTGTTCTCCGTGCTGTATTTGCGGATCTTGGTTTTCCCCTTATGTATGTTGAGGCCTACTGATGCAGAGGCTGCTGCTACACTGGCTGTCTTTGTTTGCATTTGTTCATGTGTATGCGAAAGGACGGCCAGGTCATCTGCGAAATCCAAATCGTGAAACTGGTTCTGAGCTATCCATTGTATTCCGTGTTTTCCCTCAGATGTTGAGGTCTTCATAATCCAGTCGACCACCAGAAGAAAGAGGAAGGAAGAGAGTAGACAGCCTTGTCTGACTGCGATCTTTACTTGGAATGCATCTGTCATCTCTCCTCCATGCACGACCTTACACTGTAGTCCGTCATATGAGTTCCGGATAATATTGACAATCTTCTCAGGATGTCCATAGCGTCGAAGAAGTTTCCACAACGTCCTACTATCTACACTTTCAAACGCCTTTTCATAATCAATGAAGTTGATGTATAGTGACGAGTTCCACTCAACTGATTGTTCGACGATGATCCGTAGTGTTGCAATTTGGTCTGTGCACGACCGATCCTTACGGAATCCACCTTGTTGATCTCGAAGTTGGGCGTCTATTGAGTCCTTCATCCGGTTCAGCGACACTGTTAAAGACTTTCCATGGTACTGATAGTAGTGTGATGCCTCTGTAGTTTTCACATTTACTCAGATCTCTTTTCTTTGGAATCATGATGAGGTGCCCTTCTTTCCAGTCCATTGGGACTTGTTCCTCCTCTCAAATCTTTTTGATTAGAAGGTGAAGCATGTTTGTAGTTACTTCGATGTCTGACTTCAGTGCTTCAGCTGTCATATTGTCGGGTCTTCATTTATCTAATGGCCCTTCTAAATTCTCTCGTCGTCGATGGATTGACGTCTATGGGAAGATCTGCGTGTGCTGCTTCGATATCCGGTGGATTCATTGGAGCCAGCCTATTCAGGAGTTCCTCGAAGTATTCCACCCATTTGTTAAGCTGTTATTGAATTTCAGTGATTGGCCTGCCTTCTTTGTCCTTGACCGATCTCTCTGGTTTACTATATCTCCCTGCTAGTTTCTTCGTTGTATTGTAAAGCTGTTTCATATTTACTTCTCTTACAGTCTTTTCCGCCGTCGTTGCCAGTTCTTCCACGTATTCCTTCTTGTCGGCTTTAATGCTCTTCTTCACCTGCTTGTTTACTTCTATGTATTCAGAGTGTCCTTGAACTTTGTTCGCTCGTGTTCGGCTGTTGTTAATTGCTGTCTTCTTGTTCTTCCTTCCTTTGATCTTGTCCAGTGTTTCTATCGAGATCCATTCCTCATGATGATGATGCTTCTTAAAGCTCAGAACCTCCTGACACGTTGAATTTAATGCTTCTTTGATGCATTTCCAGTTGTCCTCCATAGTAGTTTCTTCTTTCTTCAGTAGATCTTGTAAGGCTTGCAACCTGTTGTTGAGAGCTATCTTGAATTCATTGAGTTTGTCAGTATCTCGAAGGAATGCTGTATTGAACCTTCGTAGTGTTGTTTGTCCATTTGTCCAATTCTTCTTTAGCTTCAGTTTTAAATTGGCCACAACTATGTGGTGTGGTGATCTGAAACTATGTCAGCTCCTCTCCTGATTCTCACATCTTCCATTGTCCTTCGGAATTTTTTATTTGTGTGAATATGATCTATCTGGTTCTCTGTGTTGTGGTTCGATGAGACCCATGTAGCTTTGTGTATACGTACGTTTGTGTAAAAATATTGTACCTCCTATGACCGATTTGTTGAATGCACACAGCTTTGCAAATCTTTCTCCATTTTCGTTTCTCTCTCCCAGTCCATGTCGTCCCATGATATCTTCGTCGTTGCTATCATTGGTGGGTGCATAATATTGGATAATATTCATTGTGATCCCCTCCTCTTTTGTTTTGAATGATACTTTGATGAATTTTAATCCGTGAGATTGTCATCCTACAAGTGCATTTCATGCTACTTTGGACAGCATTAGAGCGACTCTTTGATTGTGTAGAGCATTTTCATCTTCGTGACCGGAGTATAGCAGCGACTCTCCCGTATTTAGCCTTTGTTGTCCAGTTTTGGTCCAATGGATTTCGCTTATTCCCGGTACTGCCAAACCCGGGTCCAGGGTATCCTGTTGACTACCTCCAACCACCATCTAAAGATCATGACTTTGCAGACAAACTGACCATCCTATCCCAAATACACAAACAAATGCAGATGAGAACAACTAGTGTGACAGAAGCCTATGCAGCAGTAGGATTCAAAATACACAGCAGAAAAATCATACAAATTATTCAACTCACAATTTCTTTGAATAAATAATAGTGATGACTACTTACCAATAGACAGTATAGAATTGAGTGAATGTCCACGCATTTCCTCTTCCAAATCACGTTCACTAATTAACGAATATTCATTGAATACAGCTCGTAAATGACCATAGGATCGTGTAATCAAGATAGGCATGAATCTAATAAGTAAAGATATTAAAAAGTTATTTCACCAGTTCATTAAAAAAAAGCTACAACGTGTTGTATGTTGCTTCAAATTGATTAGAGGATCACATTCATTTATTTAATCCATGATGTATCCAGAGTCCTATTTAGATTTCGGGACTGATGGATACATAGGAAATATTGTTAGCGGGAAATAGACTGGATTAAAGCGTGCTCAATACACGACTGCTTTGGTGCAACCTGAGTGGCTAATTCTTAACCAGTTTGCACTAGTCGATAGTTGGTGAATACTCCAGAATCTTCTCATTTAAAAACTATAAATGTACAGAAGAAAACATGGGATCTGAAATGAGTGAGAATCCTGGACAACCTGAAACAAATTCTAATCAGATACCGGTCAGTGCACCAGATAGTTTCTCCGACCACAGTCTGAACAATTCAACTGCTCCATTTTCAAGCCAACAAGGTTATACAAATCCTTCTCATGGCAATAATCCATCTGCTACATCATATATACCAGGTACAACCTCATTCAATATCGATTATGCACGTCAAATGCAAAGTCCTTATATTTCTGGAAATCCCAATTCACAAAATCTCCAAACAAATTATTGCCCAACTATGCCACCATCAGGTGGAAGTTCATTTGGTAGCGACCCAGTGAACAGGAATCAAGGATCTGTATACCCGATGTTTAACGGTTTTCCTACTCCGATTTCATTTCAGTCGAATGAGTTTTCTGTCTCTCCCAGAGTTTATGGGTTTGCTGAATCAGCTCCACACGAAGATATAGTATGTTTGCCATTATTTTTATTATTATTATTAATATTGTTATTGTTATTAGTTGAATAATTAGTTTCGTTCGAACAGTTCTCAAGTCATTTTGATTTACTGTTCAATGAATTAACTATGCACATAAATTTTGAGTCACAATCCGAATTTATTTTACTTATGTGGTGCATAGGTTACAAATATTTCCACTAATTTCCTCTTCTTGACTTCATGGCCTATGAATTTGTGAACGTTGATAGATTTCATGAATTTTATGGCCTTTTATTTATATATATTTATATGAGCTTTCAGATTATTTAATTATAATAAAACCAATACAATATGTTCACATTATTGTTCATTAGATTTCTTCACAGGTAAAAGTATTTTCATGCTGTTAAAAATTCTGTTGACTACGCTAACAGATTAATCTATTACTATTTTGTGAGCATTCGATCATGTCATTTCTAATACGGGAACTTATGACAATAATCGCAACATTCTGATCGTGTTATAATTATGAGATTTAAGTAGATAGTGATTAATACCCACTGTAAACTGATATCAACCATCAGATCAGTGTAGACTGACAGATGTTTCAGTTTAATTATCAGTGAATGAACCTATAATAGTAGAAGAAATAGGATAATGCACTTTCAAGTATTTAGCAATCAAACTGATCTGGAATACAGTTATCGATTACTTTCTTGACGTATTCATAATTCGTCAATCAGCACAAAATATTACTGGGAGGATGAGGATTAATGTTAAGTAAACTGAAGTTGAGTGAAATATATTCGTTCAACGAGGTGGTCTTCATCAGATTAATCAATGTCTATCACCAGTTCGGAAACAGAATGCATTCTAAAACATGCATATGTCATTCTAACTGGTCAATGCACAACATGAAGAAGTCACAGTTTGATTTGCTGCATGATTTGTTTAAAAGTCTTGAAGTGACACTGAATGTATCTCTCCTTTGTTGTTCTCCGATTTGACTTGTTAGGGGACTCACGAAAACAACCTAATGATCATTCAGTTGAATAAACTAATCTTTCAACTTGCTTCACACCACTCACTCCTCTCAATGAAAACTTGAACAACTCAATCTGATGACAAAGTAATTGTATTCATTTAAGCAAAGTAGTTAAGCAAACGTATCTTGTTACTACATTTTCTTAGGAGATCAATCAAATGGAGTATAGGGTGAAGACAGACGGAGAGAGGGAGTGAGAAAGGATATAGGGGGAGAAAATAAGTGTGAATAATAATCTTTTCATTTGTTAATACAATTCTTGTTAAACGAGGTGAATGCTCTTCATAATTGTGCCCTTCTTATCCCATTAATCACATGTCTGTAGCTTTGTTTTGTCTGACTATAAATATTTGAGTAACGTTTGGCTAAAATGGAGTTGGCTTCTCAGCCATCTTCCCTGCGTGTCGTTTTTCTATGCTCTATTTTATTCGCATCATATACAAAATATGTGTATTCCCAAATCAATTCTCGTTATTCGACTTATATAATTCCGTTATTGGCTAACGCGATTAAGTCGATGATTATATACGAGAATAGGCGATAACAAACATTTGTACGATCTAAATAGGAGTCAGATCCACGGGCCACTAAAATGGTAACCCCGACGTGAGAACAGGAATTGACGGGCCACTAAAATGGTAAGCACCTCGACGACGAACCTAATGCAGCAATCTACGCCGATGAAGAGAATTCTACACTTGATACATTTGACGAACACACTCAACGGGCCCAGCTCAATCTCTAATCCGACGCACTCAGCAAAGGCTGTGCAGCACGACATAGACATGTACAAATCTTATTATCTTATTATTACTTTGTCCTCATGCCAATTATCCTCATTGTTTCATTTGTCGGATTGTTCCATTACGATTCAAATTATCATTATATGCTTATTATTACACTATTGTCAATATCATGACCGAATGTGGAATTATTAATCTTGTTCGTGCTGTCGTTAAATTATTACATTTTCGTAATCATATCACTCGCCGAACAAATTATCATTTCATGAACACTCCTTGTTATGACATTCAAAACTCATTGGATTATTTTTACTATTCAAAACATGAAATTTTCCTGCTTTAAGTGAGTTCGTTCCAATTTTTTTTCCATGTAATTTTGACCTAATATTACATTCATTCACTTAGTCGAGGTCAGCAATTTATGTTATCATAACATACACTTTTCATTTCAAAATAGCCTCCTATGATATCTGTGGATGCCTCTAACTAGCTGACTAGGAACCATTACGTTCATCTTATCTATTCTTTCACATGCATAATTGCATGCCGCATCATTAAATACCCAAATACATTATTCCAGTACTGCAACTACTATTCTATAACCATCGCACGGTATATCAGAACATAGAGTTTAGAGCTAGTCTCTCAAAGATACACCCTTGTTCGTTACATCCAAGTCAGTCTCATACTCCGCAATCGGTAATCATATCTATTGGTATCTTTGTCATGCCGTGCTATGGTTTTGTAACAAATGAGGTCGACTGCATCTCCCTCAAACCACTCTAAGCTTCATGACCAACACAAAATATTATTGGGATGATGAGGATTAATGTTAAGTAAACTGAAGTTGAGTGAAATATATTCGTTCAACGAGGTGGTCTTCATCAGATTAATCAATGTCTATCACTAGTTCGAAAACTGAATGCATTCTAAAACATGCATATGTCATTCTAACTGGTCAATGCACAACATGAAGAAGTCACAGTTTGATTTGCTGCATGATTTGTTTAAAAGTCTTGAAATCACACTGAATTTACCTCTCCTTTGTTGTTCACCGATTTGACTTGTTAGGGGACTCACGAAAACAACCCAATGATCATTCAGTTGAATAAACTAATATCTTTCAACTTGCTTCACACCACTCACTCCTCTCAATGAAAACTTGAACAACTCAATCTGATGACAAAGTAATTGTATTCATTTAAGCAAAGTAGTTAAGCAAACGTATCTTGTTACTACATTTTCTTAGGAGATCAATCAAATGGAGTATAGGGTGAAGACAGACGGAGAGAGAGAGAGTGACAAAGGATATGGGGGGAGAAAATAAGTGTGAATAATAATCTTTTCATTTGTTAATACAATTCTTGTTAAACGAGGTGAATGCTCTTGTTAATTGTGAATCGAAACGTGTCAACAAATAAATTTTGTAAAGCAGAAAATCGTTGACGTCTGCAGAATGAATTCGTAATTGTTTGATGACTTTAATCACTATAAATATATGATTAATACTTTAATTGATAAGTAGATTATCCCCTGATGAACTTCAGTAAAAGCCGACGATAATTACCTGATTCTACATTCCATAAAGTTCGATAAATAAATAGATTTGTTGGATCGTTTCCAAAACGCCAAATATTAAGCTTAATCAAAATGTATTTGAGAAATAAAATTTGTAAAATTATTTTCCTTTATCACGTTTGATCACTTGATAAATAACTTCAATGCACAAGTGATGCATGGTAGAATTGGCTACAAATTATGACCTCAATTATTATCAATGTAGGATATGACATACATTCACATAAGTCGAACTAGTATGCTACAATTGAACACTGGGATTTACCAAGATGAAAGATAATCTAAACAATAGTGGAAGATTAAATATGAAGGTTCTTGTTCAATTGATTCATTTCCGAAGTGATCTGACGTTATCATCAAGTCAGACAAACACGCACACATCTATACATGGATGCAGGATGGTCTAGTCTTCTTATAATTGTATTTCGAAACATGTCGAAACTCTTCAATTTGTTGTTATAACCAAGTTTCAGCAACATGCAATACAACCATGAAATTTCTGTGTCAATTGTCAGCTGACAAACACCTTGGATTATTCAGCTACAACGTAACAATATCAGTTAGTACGTCACAGGATTGATGTTGTTCAATGCACTACTGATCACACGATTTCACTGAGATTTTAATTTGAATAAATGGGAAAGTAGTCAACTCACTTCGGTTTACGTCTGAGACACAGTTCGCATCGCGAGGTGCACGTATTCCAAGTTCACACTACACCATTTCTTATTAGTGATGATTTAATAAACGCTTACTTACCACACTCAAGTGTTGTAAGCACTTGAAGAATGCATCGTGTTAACGCTGATTGGTTTAGTCGTGGTTATTGATGCAACACACCCTGATCAAGCTAATCAATTTCTATTTAACACTGATTAAATGTGATGTATGTATCTCTAGACATGAACGTAGAAGTTTTTCGAGAAGCATTTGGTTGATGCTATAACAATCAGTAATATTCAGCATTATTGTTCACACAGATTTCCATGGGTTGAAGATTCACACGGAAAAATAATTTTCAATTCAAAGCAAATAAGTTAACCGTCGAATGTAAATTATTCGTCACATTTGGCTTGTGAAGATAGTTGAACGTGATCAAAATTACGAACTGATACAATTTAGACAACTATTGAGTATTTGAGAGCACTGGACTGTTATTTCATCGTACTATGGAACTGTTCAATGAGAATGCTTAATTATTGAGTTTTATTTGTTTCTGTTTTGTTGTTGGTACTCATGGTTGACAGTTGAAGATTTCCTTATAAGTTTGTAGGTTGATTGAAATTAGACTTGTATTCCCTAGGATCCGGTCACATACGTCTAGATTTTAAAGGTTTATGCGTGACATCGAAATATCTGAATTTGATTACCGACTCTTGGATTCATACCGATGAGGAGTCAGTCACATACTTGCACAGAATGATCACCTATTGTTCTTAGTTTTCCAACAGTTGCTATATTTCAGCCCATTCGTGGTTTAAATGAAATATATCAATGTTGAACATGCAGTAAAATGACATAAATTAGAATAAATTATCATCGAATAAATATTATTCACACTTACATCTATGCATTCATCCAAAGTGTTTCCTGTTATTTTATAAAACTCTTTCATGATATTTTTCATATCGATTTCACAACGGCTGACAATAATACGTATAAGTGCTTTATCAGCTGTTTCAACAAATTGCATGGCTTTGAATAATTTTTCTGCAAAATATCGTGGTTTATTTTGTATACACCGAACTGAAATCAAATTCAATGAATGCGATTGAAATAAATAAAATAGAGGAAATTTGATGGACGAAAAGTGAATGTTGGTTTTTTCAACCGGGTTGGTGATCACGGAGAGTTTACCCAGGGGAGTTGAAAAACCATGATGTTAGCGGGACATAGACTGGATTAAATCATGCTCAATGCGTGATTGCTTTGGTGCACGCTGATTGGCTAATTCTTATCCAATCAGCACTAGTCGATTGTTGGAGAATACTCTGGAATCTTCTTGTGTAAAAACTATAAATATACTGACGTTTTCCCTATTGTGCTTCTGGCTTGCATCTTGTTTCCATCTAACCTTGTTATTTGGAATATAACCTCTTTCCTGTTCAACCGTGTTCTGATTTGGGGTCTTGTCGAGTGTATCGGTGTCGAAGAATACTAAGCAATAGGAATAGCTGGGTTATAACCGTAAGAAGGAGATTATAACAGTGGCGACGGGAAAAAAGGAAAACAAATTCAAGATGCCTATATCAGATGACCAGCTTAACCGAATACTACAACAACAGCAAGCACAACTTGATGCACAAATGCGGTTGTTGGAGACTCTGACTCAACAGCTCAGTATCCACAGCTCGACTTCACATGCTATTTCAAGTACGTCTTGTGATGCAGTTGCTAGCAGCATCCCAGAATTCATCTTTGATCCCGAAAGTGGAAATACTTTCCTCACGTGGTTCAAACGTTGGGAAGATACATTTAGAACAGAATTCTGTAACCAAGACGATGCGTGGAAGACCCGATTGTTGGTACGTAAGTTGGGAAGCAATGAACATGCACGTTTTGCTGACCATATATTGCCAAAGTTACCTCGAGAGCTCAGTTTCGAGGAGACGGTATTTCAGTTGTCAGAGATATTCGGCGAGTCATCCTCGTTGTTTAGTATTCGATATCGGTGTCTAAATTTGGTGAAACGCGAAGCTGATGAATATGGTGTTTTAGCAGACATCGTCAACAGAGAATGTGAACGTTTCAAGTTACGCTCGTTGACTGATGACCAATTTAAATGCTTAATATTCATCAAAGCTCTTCAGTCACCACAAGATGCTGAGGTCAGGACTAGACTTTTAGCTCGGCTGGATCAAGATCCAAACGTCACACTCAGAACATTGACAGATGAGTGTAAGCGTCTACAAAGCATCAGACACGACAACCAGTTGATTGAACAGGTAAATCCTAATTTAACCTGCGGTAGTGTAAATACTATTACTAGGTTAAAAGTTCAGAAGCCGGTAACAACTCGTAACAAACCAAGGACTGCATGCTGGTTATGCGGTGATTGGCACTATGCACGTTTCTGTCCATTCAAGAAGCATAAATGTCAGGCGTGCAACAAACGTGGACATAAAGAAGGTCATTGTCCACCGAAGCGTACGTCTCAGCCTAAGAAGAAGCATAAACGTCCTCGACTTGTGAAATCAGCCGAGTCTAAATCTCTTTCTGTGGTAGCTGCCTTTCAAACAAACTATGACATTCGAAGAAAGTATGTTACCATCCAGATAAACGGCATATCAGCTCGTCTTCAAATTGACACGGCATCAGATATCACGTTAGTGTCTAGAGAAACGTATAACTTGCTGGGTAAACCGCCAATGAAACCATCTAAGAAAACGGCTAAAAACGCATCAGGTGGTGTGCTAAAACTGGTTGGTGAATTACAGTGTGAATTTTCCTTCAATGGAACTAACTGTACAGGAATATGTTACCTAACAGAACGGCCGAACCTTGATCTTCTTGGTCTAGATATGTTAGACAAACTTGGAATAATGGATATACCAATTAACAGTGTCTGTAACGTATCGTGTTCATCATTGGACACTCCAGTACTTCCAAAGAAGATAGGTGAAACGTTATTAGAAAAACTGAAAAGAAAGTTTGCCTCTGTTTTTCAGAATAGCCTTGGCCACTGTACCAAGATGAAAGCGCACTTACCAGTGAAACCAGATGCTATACCTATTTTTCGCCCGAGACGTCCTGTACCATATGCTGCTCTTGAGCTAGTCGACCAGGAACTTAATCGCTTGCAACAGGCTGGTGTTATCCGACCAGTTAACTACTCTGCATGGGCCGCACCGATCGTAGTGATTAAGAAGGCCAATGGGACTATACGCATATGTGCCGATTTCTCGACCGGTTTAAATGCTGCATTAGATGTATATCAATATCCATTACCAGTTCCTGAAGACCTGTTTGCCAAGCTTAATGGTGGTACATGCTTCGCGAAAATAGACTTCTCTGATGCTTATCTTCAAGTGGAAGTAGATGAAGACAGTAGAGAGCTTCTGACCATTAACACTCATCGAGGGTTATTTCAATACACCCGTCTACCATTTGGCATCAAGAGCGCACCCGCCATCTTTCAGCAAATAATGGATACGATGCTAACAGGTATACCTGGTACAGCAGCTTATCTCGATGATATCATAGTTATGGGTTCAACTGACAGTGAACTTTCTGATCGACTACACCAAGTCCTTAACCGAGTGTTGGAGTATGGTTTCCAACTACGTGAGGAGAAATGCATCTTCTTCATGCATTCGATCAAATACCTTGGTTTTATCTTAGATAAGAACGGTCGCCGACCAGACCCTACCAACATCGAAGCCATTCAGAAGATGCCTGCACCAACTGATGTTTCCTCATTGAGATCCTTCTTGGGGTTAATCAGTCATTACAGCACATTCTTGCCTGAAATGCATCGAGTGAGAGGTCCCCTAAATGAATTACTATCAAAAGATAAACCTTGGCAGTGGTCAGCAGAATGTCAAGCATCTTTTGACAAAGTCAAATCAATGCTCAGCTCAAAGATTCTTTTGACGCACTTCGATCCCAGCTTGGAAATTGTTGTTACATCTGATGCCTCTAGTCATGGAGTTGGAGCAGTGATATCTCACGTGTTTCCGGATAAATCAGAAAAGACAATCGCCCATGCTGCTAGATCACTTACTCCAGCCGAGCGAAACTACAGCCAAATTGAAAAGGAAGCTCTTGCAATCATTTTCGCTGTCAAAAGATTTCATAAAATGCTCTATGGTCGTACATTTACTCTACTGACAGATCACAAACCTTTGATTGCAATCTTTGGTTCTAAGAAAGGAATCCCTGTCTATACGGCTAATAGACTACAGCGCTGGGCGACAATGCTCCTGAGTTATGATTTTAATATCAAGTATCAGTCGACAAATACTATCGGTCAAGCTGACGCTCTCTCCCGATTAATTGGAGTTCAACATCCTGGACCAGAGGATATAATCATTGCCTCCACATCAGTAGACCCAGAAATACGAAGTATAGTGGCAGATGCCATTCGAAACACTCCAGTGTCGTCAGATGAAGTCAGGGAAGAAACGCTTCGAGACCCAACACTACAAGAAGTTAGAAAGTTCCACCTAGAAGGGTGGCCCTCGAAAATCAGTTCCACAGAGCTTCAACAGTTTTACCAGCGAAGACTCTCTCTTTCAATCATCGATGACTGTCTGCTGTTTGCCGAACGTGTCATAATCCCCAAGAAGCTACAACCAGCAGTGCTTGAACAGTTGCATGCAGGACATCCTGGAATAAATCGCATGAAAGCACTAGCACGAAGTTATGTATACTGGCCGCATTTAGACACCCAACTGGAGCAGCTATCCCGTTCGTGTACCAAATGTGCATTAGCAGCAAAAGCACCACGAAAAGCAGAGCTGCAATCATGGCCAATACCACAGTTACCGTGGCAGCGTATACATTTGGACTTTGCTGGTCCACTTCATGGACAAACTTACCTTTTGGTGGTTGATGCATATAGCAAGTGGCCAGAAATTTTTCTCATGGAACACCCGACTGCAAGCTGCACAGTCAGTAAACTACGTCAACTATTCAGTCGTTTCGGAATCCCAGAATCGATAGTTAGTGACAACGGAACACAGTTTACGTCCGAAATCTTCTCACGGTTCTGTCGGCAGAACGGAATCCAGCACCTCCGAACACCTCCATTCCATCCCCAGTCAAATGGCCAAGTGGAACGCTTTGTGAGTACATTTAAAAATGCTCTAAAAAAATCTAAAGGGGAAGGGACCACTGAAGATATCTTAGAGAGGTTCCTGTTTATTTATCGCTCTACACCGAACCCTCAGACGTTTAACGGGGTCTCTCCAGCAGAAGCTCTACTTGGCAGAAAGATACGAACACATTTCGATGTCATCCGTCCTACGCCAGCTATTGAACCCCAAAGAAACCTATCGATGGAGAATCAGTTCAACCGACATCATGGGGCGCAAAGACGATTGTTCATGGTGGGACAAAAAGTACTTGCTATGGACTATCGTGGGAAACAACCTACATGGACAGCTGGTCGGATTTTGAAAAAGAAGGGGAGTGTGGTTTACGAGGTGTCAGTTGGCTCGGAAGTTTGGGTACGTCATGCTAACCAATTGAAAGCAACTTCGATAGCCAGCAACAAAATTCAATATCGATTACCTCTGGATGTTCTGCTAGACACCTTCGAAATCAAAACGCCGGGAATAGACACGTCAGTTTCTATGCAAGAAAAGAGTGATACTTCTCTATTGCCCAGACGATGGACTAATCGAAAGCACAGGCCAGTCCCTCGGTTGCAGTTGGACCCTAGCACCAGATCCTACGAATCTGCTCAAAGGGGAGGTGTTAGCGGGACATAGACTGGATTAAATCATGCTCAATGCGTGATTGCTTTGGTGCACGCTGATTGGCTAATTCTTATCCAATCAGCACTAGTCGATTGTTGGAGAATACTCTGGAATCTTCTTGTGTAAAAACTATAAATATACTGACGTTTTCCCTATTGTGCTTCTGGCTTGCATCTTGTTTCCATCTAACCTTGTTATTTGGAATATAACCTCTTTCCTGTTCAACCGTGTTCTGATTTGGGGTCTTGTCGAGTGTATCGGTGTCGAAGAATACTAAGCAATAGGAATAGCTGGGTTATAACCGTAAGAAGGAGATTATAACACATGATTCCCAACCAATTGTGCACATGGGCTTCAAGATCCTGAAGGAACGAATGACGTATGGAGATATCGTTGTTCACAGGCTACCATGGGACTGCATTTCATTACATTGATTCACTGTCTTGTCGATTAGACCTTCGGGTCGAAGGTTCCAGCTGAACATGCAGTGCACCCAAGCAGTGCATACACTGTCTGAGTTACTTAAACTAATACGAATAATAAAATTTCTCAACCGATAGAACTTGGGCGACAGTAACGACCAAACTAACATGACACTACACTGAACAGCAAACTCTGACCAATCAATACAGGGATTAGAGTTGTTCTCTACCAATCAGATATTCATTCGAATACAACTTCGATTTAATTCCCAAGTAATTACATAACAAACACATTAACTAATCCCAAATTAGATTAACTCAAGTCATAATTATTAATCGGACAAGCAATTTCTCGAAAAGAATTGTTCAACATTACTTACCTATAGAAAGTAGAGCACTGAGTGCATTTCCACGCATTCTGAGCTTTAAAGTATCTTCCATAGTATGTTTACTAATTCGTATATATTCATTGAATACAACTCGTAAGTGAGCATAAGATCTTGAAGCCAATATAAGAATGAATCTAATATGTACAGGTATGTTTAAAGAAAAAAGAAGGATTATGTTTAAGAGCTTGCTGAAAGACTGTGCTGTATGTTGCATCAAAGTGATTCTTATTTGTTGGACCATTGCATTCATTTAGTCAGATACATTTTAACAGATCTCATTTTCAGATAATGGGATAGATATGTTGATAAAAAGTATGTAATATGATCAACCTATATTACACTTTGTGGTACTGAGTTCTAACCTTCTACCTGCTATTTCAGATGGTTTTGATTCAATCAAACATATTTAAATCACATAATGATGATTACATTTGAGCTCTATTAGTCTTACTCTTTAAACTATTTGTAAAGTGTGATCGGTAGACGAACCCAACAATAATAAGGGAAACGCCCACCACCACATTAACTCTTTTTGACCTTGTTCGACTGTATCTCTTTATCAACCAATCGCAGTTTGATGTTCATTGTAAAATAATATTTGCATCGTTGACTCATTTTTCCTATTCTCTGGCTACTGTTTGGTATGTTATTTGTCTCTGTTTTTCCTTGTATTAATACTGTTTGCTTGTACACTAACGATGTTAATTTATGTTTTAGAAACAGATAAAGTTTATCGAGTCAAATTACTTGTTCTGACTTTGGCTAAACCAAGACTCTGTATTCACCAGTCTAGAGATTAGCTTAGAGTTGAATCTGTAGGACATTGCTTCCTACATTATTACCACGCGAATTTAAAGATCTGGTTAGTTTGTAGTTGAATCATGTGTAACACAAGTTCCAAATATGTCAGTCAATGCATGTTCACAACTTCATCAATCAGCTCATCATCTTTGATTGAAACTCTTTACCTACCATTAGCATCATTCAGTGAATGAAGCATTTATAGTCAAATACATAGTCCAATGGCAAATTACTACTTGAAAGTCCAATCATCTCTCAATACATAATCTCTCATAAAACTGCAAATATTCTGTTTTCAAGTCAAAACCCAATTAATTAATTAATTAACAGCTATGTAAGATTTTCTTAAACCAACTAGCATATATTGAATAAACAATACACTTACTTTGATTCATCTATTCTAATGTTTTGTTGTATTGTATTAGATAATTCTTCCACATCTCTTTGTACAATATTTCTATCTACAAATGTAAATTCATCTCTATCCGCCTTTAATAGAGTCATGAATATACGTTTGAATGGATGTGTAATCTGATTGTTTACATCATTCATCAAATCACATCCATCGAATACTGAAATTTTAATGAATAAACATTTATATATATATATATATATATATATATATATATATATATATATATATATATATATGAATGATTGTTGTGAATATTATAGTAATTTTAATAGTTGAGATCATGAGTCACTTGAAGCTAGACCACCATGGAAAACCTGGAAGTACTGGGCAGCCGTGTCGATCAATTTCGCGAATTATTTGAAGTTAGACATTAACATCGTTGAACCCCGATCAGCTCAGCGGTCTAGAGGTTAAGTGTTCGTGCGCGATACTGATAGGTTGTGGGTGTCGAGTCTCGCTTGGTACGATCGTAGATGCCCACGGCAGAACAGTTTATCGTGAAATTCATAGAAATTTCAAATAGTTGAAATGAATCACAGTGAATCCTCTTCATTATCACTGACCATATTCAGTAATTCATGACAATCTTAATTTTAAGAATAAATACAAAATATATATGATCATTTTATAAATTAATAACTCACATTTTGGATAAACATCCTTAATTCTTCTGATTTGTTCATTTGTTTTTGTACAAAGAATTTCAATTATTGTATCTTCATCAGTATCAGTTCCTCTCATTGCTCTATGAAGTTCTATTGCATCAAATTCTGCTGGTGTATAGCACAATGCAATCAAACAATCTTTTAAATATCCAGTTAATTTAGAATTAAATATGGCGAACAAATTGTCCTTATACAGAGATTTATATGTTTGTAGAATTGCTATACGTTGAACAACAGGTCGACGACCCATTACTTCAACGATTTCTTTTTCTACTATATTTAATCGATCCAGAGCACCCTTTAAACGTTCACAGTCATGTTCAACACAGAAATCTTCTTTAGGTGTTAATGTTGGTTTCATCTAACATTAAAAGAATGGATATTTACAAGTAAGTAAATTGTAGAATCTAGTTAAAATGGTTTTGGGTATATTGGTTTAAATTTTAATTGGTATTCGCCGAGCTTCCATTGAAAACATGGAGAACAGAAGATTCGTACTGTTGAGGAGTCCCAAATTAGGATGAAATAAATTCCAAATGCTCCTATTTCAGTGGTATCCGAACCGAGATCAACTTTGATGAATACAACCTAAAGAGTGTTGATTTGTTTCACTAAAATTCTTTACATGTATTGTTTACTTAATATTTGTTACTCACTTGAGTTAATGACCAACAAATTTCAATGAAGCAGATATAAAGTAGACGCAATGACAACAATAGCATATGGATATGATAATTTAGTTTGAAAAAAAACAACCTTGGATTTTACAAGATTTGTCAGTGCAAGAACCATGTTCAACATACTTAAACGATCTTAGGATTTAGAATCGTTCGCATTTGCTTTTGTTCCTCACATGTACAGTATATACATGTGAGTATATACCCAGTTTAAACACACTGTTCAAGTGGAATTGAATAAAATAATCATCTCCAAAACTCTTGTTAACATAATAATACGCTTCTGACATGCATAAAGAGCAATGATTTTAAACTACAGAAAAAGTGACCAGATGGATAGATAGTATGAAGAAATGTATCTTTTAATGTTACTACCATGTTCACAACTACACAACTACATAACAGTTGAGGTAAACTTTGATAATCATATAATACAAACAATGTTCTTCACATTCACAATAAATAACCCAACAATTTAAATTAGTGATAATTTCGATAGCCTACAATATCAAATCTAGATAATTCAGGTGATTTCAGTCGACTGATCAAATTTAGAATTGGTGTTTGTACTAACCGATGATTCATTTGTACTTGATTGCGCGCTCCTTACGAATTACTAATGTAATACATCCAGTTATGCTCATCTGGTTCCACCTGTCTTAAATTGCACTATTTCGCGAATTCCTAGTTAGCAAATCAATTAGAATGCTTCTAATTATTTATCACATTAGAACAGCTGTGATGAATATCGCATTATGTGATAAAAATAAATTCGAAACTACTCTGTAAACACATGTGACGACTATCTGACAACTCAGCATTACTCAACAGCAGTCTAGTATGTTTGCAACGACATGTCTATATTAAAGAATTTATACAAAGTTAATAAATAGACTAAAATAACTACCAACATTTGTCCGAGTTATGATAATTAACCGCTTTAATTAAAAAAAGAAACGCTGGATTCTTTGAAATACATCAACTAAGAAGTGAAATATTTACTGGAAATATGTTCAGGTATTATGGGAGCTTTGTGTTGTACATTATGCCTGTTCTTAAAAATATCTCCCACAATGATGTTCGTATTTTCAGATTATCTAAGTCGACCAATTGCTCACTCGAACAATCCACTCACTTAAATAAAATCTCAACAAATTAAAAGATACGGGAAAGAAGGCCATAAAATTCATGAAATCTATCAACGTTCACAAATTCATAGGCCATGAAGTCATGAAGAGGAAATATTTGTAACCTATGCACCACATAAGTAAAATAAATTCGGATTGTGACTCAAAATTTATGTACATAGTTAATTCATTGAACTGTCAATGAAAATGACTTGAGAACTGTTCGAACGAAACTAATTATTCAACTAATAACAATAACAATATTAATAATAATAATAAAAATAATGGCAAACATACTATATCTTCGTGTGGAGCTGATTCAGCAAACCCATAAACTCTGGGAGAGACAGAAAACTCATTCGACTGAAATGAAATCGGAGTAGGAAAACCGTTAAACATCGGGTATACAGATCCTTGATTCCTGTTCACTGGGTCGCTACCAAATGAACTTCCACCTGATGGTGGCATAGTTGGGCAATAATTTGTTTGGAGATTTTGTGAATTGGGATTTCCAGAAATATAAGGACTTTGCATTTGACGTGCATAATCGATATTGAATGAGGTTGTACCTGGTATATATGATGTAGCAGATGGATTATTGCCATGAGAAGGATTTGTATAACCTTGTTGGCTTGAAAATGGAGCAGTTGAATTGTTCAGACTGTGGTCGGAGAAACTATCTGGTGCACTGACCGGTATCTGATTAGAATTTGTTTCAGGTTGTCCAGGATTCTCACTCATTTCAGATCCCATGTTTTCTTCTGTACATCCATCTATGTTTGAATCCATTGAGCTTCCTGATGATGAATTAGGAGATTGTATTTCTGGACATCCCTCAGAAGTCATTCTCGGATGTCCTGTAGAATGATTACTTGAATAAACTGTATGAAGCTGTTGAGAATCGTTCCACTCAGAGCGATTAAAAGCATCCAAATCCATTTGTCAAGCTGACTCAATTCAACAGACGATAGATTGATTTTTTGTTAAGGTCACTAATATATTGAATTAGTTGGTTAAGATGAACATGTAACTGTAGGAGGATTGGTTAAACTAACCACATAAATATCAAACGACCTTCATAGTGTCAGAAGATTTTCATAGTCAAAACAAATGAAAACAAATATTTTAACGCATTTTTGTTTTAGTATCGTTCAGTATTGTAACTTTTGTACTATTCCAATAGGTTTGTGAAAGTTTAAAAGTCTATCTAATAATAAGTTACTATTCTGGTCAAATTATCACTGATTAACAAGGTTTACTAGTTCATTTGTGATTTCGACCATCATTTCTAAATTTAATCAATGGCATGAAGATGCGTATGTATATGCGTATGTATATGCATGCGTATGTATATGGCATGGTTTATGGTTCTTTTGTCAATTACCAAAACTTTTATTTATTTTCCAAAATATAAGGTTTATAAGTGATAAGACAATTATACTTTTCAAATGAAAATGATACTATTCAAATATCTAAACTAAATATGTAATCTAATGAGAGAACTGATACTTCCTATAGGATTCGAACTAGCGTGATCTAGCTTTACAGTATTTGACACTACAACAAAACTTCACGAGGCATTGTTAAACAATTTAATAACCACTAGTAAAATTTCTCTAGAATCCATTTCACATCTTCAACAATAAAACCTTCCAAGAATACTATACCACTGAACCCCACGTTGAGCACTTCTAAGTCACTCTTGGTCTTAAACCTGACTAACAGAAGAGTGTTTCGCATAGAGTTAATGGTTCAATACCGTAAGAAAGAATCATGATAAAAAAGGCGCTAACCATAACCATTCTCCTTAATTTTTAAAAGTTGAAAACTCTCAGGTTCGTAAATTCAAAGTACAATACCAAGAATTTAGCAGAAATACATACTTACTAAACTAGCGGTTCCAATCAAATTCACAAAATATTTGAACAATATTATACATTTTAACCCCGATTCATTTCACAAAATCTGTTGAGGATCCAAACTTTTTACAATAACTTGGTATCTTAAGCTCCGAATAACAATCAAAACCCTATTATTATTTATTCATAACATGACTTACTTATTTACTTACTTACGCCTGTTACTGCCAATGGGGAGCATATGCCATCAACCAGCATTCTCCAACCTGCTCTGTACTGGGCCTTCCTTCCTAGTTCTATACAATTCTTGTTCATTCTTACCATATTTGCTTCCATTTCTCGGTGCAATGTGTTCTTTGGTCTTCCTCTTCTCCTTTGGCCTAGAGGATTCTATGTGAGGTCTTGCGTTATGACACAGTTTGATGCTTTCCTCAATGTGTGTCCTGTCCACTTACAGTTGTTTTTCTTATTTTCTTCCTCCTCTGGAATCCAGTTCGTTCTCTCGCACAGCAGACTGAAGCATATATTTACCGTACATCTATTTCACCAGTACGCATTCATAATCACATAACTTATCAGACTCATGGTTTTCTGGCATCGTGGCAAGTTATTCATCTTTATACCATTTAGATGATATCTTATTATTTACATTTCGATTATCTTTTTATGATTAGATAATTATTGAATATCTTAACGTATAAACCTAAAAAAGCAATGCATACATTTAAGTTAGAGCTAAAGGTTGAACCAACTGGTCAATAACTATGGTATTTCAAATGTTTTAGTGTAATAAGAAGAGGATAATATTATATACTAACTGTCGGTTAAGAATACTGCTGTTTAGAGAATACTATAATAATCTTCTTTCATATCGACCTAGATAAACAGAAGAGCTATTTTTAAACAGGTAAGTATTTTTAAACTAATGAATGCTGTCATTACTATACATGGTCACTATTTTAATAAACATATTAACTTGAACACGGAAGAAATGATGAGAAATATGGAACAAAACGTTTTACCCCAAAAGTCTGTTTATGTACAGACGCTCTAGGATATTTATTTATATCATTCTAGATGACCTCGGGTTCCAAACAGTACTGGAACGCTACTAAACCTGGTAACAGTATAGGTAATGATCCAATCAGAAATGCGGTCTGTGACTTTTCACTTTTTAAATGTTTCTGGCAAAACTTTTATTAAATGTTGATTAGATAAGAGGTTTTCTCAACGTTTTCAGAGCTTGTTTTGGCTTTTGCTCGAAAGACTTTCTGAATCTCTCCAACATAATCAACAATGAACTAGTTAAACAAATCATTTACAGTTCATAATTGACGTAGAACAGTGAAATAATAGTTGAACCACTTAAATTTTATCTGCTAAATCATAGATTTCAATCATGCTTCACTTCATGCAATTTCAGTAGACTTGTAGAATCATAAATCTTTTAACGGGATTATAATCAGACTTCGCTGAATTTTTGTACGAAATAGAAGAAAGTGATTACAAAATACAAAACGAATAAAATACACATTGATTAAAAAATTCACAGTGTAAATCATAAGGATCTTAGATCTACATAATTTCTGATAATCCAAGAAGTACTGTGGTGTGTGCTACTGATGTCGACAGATATGAGTAGTATGTATCATCAATCGAAAGTGAAATACCTGACAACAGAAAGTTAAGAAGATTGAAGAAAAGTGAGCAAGAACGGAGAATGATCGCTGTGAAAGTGAAGTCTGAGATGATTGATTGACATTTTGCAAATGAATTATTTACTGTATGGTTCTCAGATTTTACTATGTTGTTCTGTAATTTTGTGTTCCAATAAATCCGATTGTCCCCAGTTGTGTCCTTATCTACTACAATACAGATGACTGACATCAGCTAAACCAGCAATGAAAGCCTATATTTACTTAATCACAGAGTGAGTCTTAGACCGCTCGTAAATTCTGTCGGTTATATCTGCTAGCCTATAAAAATCGACATCGTCGTCTCCAATTACAAGTATCTGTTGGATATTTTGTAGAAAACGTCTGAGCCACAATTGATATAATAGACGTTTGTTTACTGTACGATTTGCTAATAAATTTGTCATGTGGCGTTTTAATTGTGATAGTGTATTGTCACCTAGCTCCACGTTAAATAAAAGTTGATCGATTGTCTGCCGGTCGGTGAGAGATGTAACACGAATGACCTGTCTTTTTAGACAATAGTATGGTGAGTCGGGATCCGGCTTAAAAATGATGTTAGGCACTTGTTCAATAACGTCGTCCGGTAGCAATGAGTTTGCGTAACTAAATTTAGTGGTCCGATTTGTGATTCTGTTTGCAACAAAAAACCTTTCTAAGCGTGCAAACCAGAGTTCGGCCTTTCGCGGATTAAAGACAAGTAAAGGTACAGAGATGGCACCCATGGACATAGATTTAGATGAAAGGCTTAGCGAATTATCAAGTGCCATGATACAAAGAAGTAATAGTAATAATAAACTGAGGATTGTAATATACAATATGAAGAAATTAAAAATAACAAAAAGAAATATATAAGACTCACCGGAAAGAAAACTGTCACTTTGGGTTTAAATATGCGAATATACAGCACTAATTCCAAAGGAACAATGTTATGGGTGAATTTATTATGACTATCAATGAATTGTTAATAATTGTAATAGTAATTCCAATGTGAAGTTCTTTATGATACGCTTGGAGAGTATGCAGCAGACTTTGTAGAGTAATGGTACGTGTTCTAAAAGCATTCATCAAATATTGAGGTTAGTTTCCTCTACATTTGACTACAATAAATGATTTTTAGGTAGGCTAAATCTCTCAGTAGGATTATGGATTTATTCGAGATTATTCAGAAGCCTGAATACCAGTTGTAGAGATATTTTATTATAAAAGTTGAGTAAAATCCACAAGCGTACAGAGAGCGTGTGAACTGTGAAACACGACAGTGTGTGTGTGTGCGAGTTAAAAATCCATATACATTTTTGAGTGTCAATCAAGTGTGGATAAATTATTGATTACCTGTATGTTACAACCAATAGGAGAATAGATTAAGGATTGATGTGCAGACACACGCACTCGATCATACATACACACACAGAAATTAACATAGTGAATTAAGTGTCTGAATTACAGTGAATAGACAAATAATACAATGGTTGAAAAGAATATGAAGACCCAGAGTGATAAGCATAAGAGTATGACTCATGATGGTAACACGGGACCGAATTCCTTCAGGCAGCATCAGTTCCCTCAAGATTACAGTTACACCTTGCTGACGAGTGCCAAATACCACGAAATCCAGGTCCAGGGTTTCGTGTTGACTACCTCCAACCACCATCATGTCTCAACAGAGTGCACGCAACGTCCAGTCACCTAGACTAGTGGCCACATTGCAACTTGATCGATAACATTCGATCTGCATTAAGAAAGACCTGACACACATGACATCGATCACCACCCGGTGATCAATCAATCAATTGTGACTCATGATGTGTTTTCAATAGTGATTAGATTAATAATAAAAATAGTTAGATTACTTAGAAAAGTTTCGCTTGCCTTAAAATTAAGAAACATGTATAAAATATTCAATATAATACTGAATTCTACTTTGGTGAATCAAAAATTGATCTGATTATAGTGTTATGTTAGATCATATAAACCAAACCATTACTATATTAGTGGTGAATATCATAAGGGAAATGACATCGTACTCGCTGCACAAGTGTGTGGCTGGCTATCTGAGCTCAGTAGCTCAATGAATTATGCGCTGGGATTTTGAAGTGAAAAGTATTGGATTCAAGTCTCAGTATGAATATGAACACTGAGATACAGGCATATCGAGCTAATGATTCTCAAATAAGATGAAACACTCCTCCACGATTCCACTGCAAACCACAAATCCACCTATTATATAGAAAGTTATAAAAAATTCCTGTATTGAGACAATCTGTACAGGATGTACAACTTCCAGTGAAAGCTGATCAAAATTCTGTCCAGATCACTGATGGTTGAACAACTCATATCCTCACTAATAGGTATTTTTTATGTCGGATATTTATTAGCAATAGGTAAAAGGTTCCAGATGTCGATTACTTGCCTACGGACACACAATCATTATCATTGATATTTATTAAGTTTACCTGAGGATTCATATCAAACTGTTTAATCAAGCGCAAAATCCGAAATCTAAACAAAATATTTGTCTATATAACAGCACTACTAGTAGTAGTGATGCATTTTACAAACATTAATTCTGTGGGTCTCTCTATGGTCTATAGGTGTCAAAATATGATTGAAGAAGAAACAATTCCTGCAGTAATCACAATTTATGCTTGTCCGCCAGAGAGCACCAGATCCCTCAAGATTACAGGTACATCTTTGCCAAGTAGCACGAAACCCGGATCCAGGGTTTATTTCTATTTTTATTATTATTATTATTAGCTTTATTGAACATTATAGTTTTGGTATAACATAGAATTCTCAGCATAAAGTATTTCAACAAGTTTCCTTTTCTTATATCTTGATCTATTTTGACGATAAATTTTGAATGATGATCGGTTAGATGTTAGGAGTTCGGTAATCCACATTTGATTAATGTTCATTCGTTTTAATGCATATTGCCAGCCACCATGATGTCGTTGATTGTACCTTTTTGTATCACGTATAGCGAAAGGTTGTAAACTTCTCATAAACGCGCCTGAATAGATTGTGCGCACAATAGATATAATGATGTGCTAAAACAAACAACAAAACAGATAACTTGATGAAATATCTAGATCGGAGGAACAGGTAACCCAGATATTCAAGCAGGCCGCCAGGGTTTCCTGTTGACTACCTCCAACCAACATCTAAATCTCAATTCCTGCAGTAGTTATGTAAGAACTATTTACAAATATATACAGTAAACTAAATAACAGACAGAAGGTTTATCAAACTAACAATGACAGTCAACAAATTGAAATGAGAACTATGTACACTAAATACAGATGTTGTTGCATATATCTGACTCCAATAAATGATATCTCGTTAACTGAGTATTTAAGGTAGGCGTACAGATAGCAAGTACACCGTGAAAAGAAGATCGTGTATGTCTGTGTGGGAGTTAAAAATCCATATATGTTTTTGAGTGTCAATCAAGTGTGGATAAATTATTGATTATCTGTATGTTACAACCAATAAGAGAATGCATTAAGGATTGCTGTGCAGACACACGCACTCAATCGTACACACACAGAATTAACATAGTGAATTAAGTGTCTGAATTACAATGAGTAGACAAATAATCAATAGTTGAATGGACTTGCTACAAACTCATAGGAAATGTATATAACTGTTTAGATGGTAAATAGAATGTTATTACAATAATAAATGGATTACGTTCCAAGAATTTATGTAAATGTTATATCTTGTGACCGCCGATTATGGAGCAGTGACTTATCAATCGGATCAATGACGCGTAAACCCGTATGAGCAGCCTAGAGTTCGGATCGGCCCTGCTTTCCGCCTAGCCCATCCAGTTAAGTCCAGAACACAAGTCTCAGCCTCTGCGATATGAATTATTATATTTCGAACATACTGAGTTTATATACCAATCGACCAGACCACAACGTAGCATAAAATAGAAAATAATATTTGTATAAATCTGGTCAAATGTGGTTGTGAATGTGTGAGGCAGTGACTAATAGACAGGACATAATTCAAGAATGGTAAAACGCATAATAATGGTTCATAGGTCAAAATAAAGCTCATAATAAGAGGAACATGAATATGAATAGTTTAGTTATTCGACATTTAATGAACCTATTAAAGTATTTCTGTGTAAAGATAAATTAATGACATAAATTCGTCTTTATAGATATGGATTATCGATCTCCTCAAATCTTTATAACGAACCAAACGGAGTTTCAAAATTCCTAATGTTGTTCTTCATTAGAGTTATGTTTCAAAGGTATGAATTAGAAGTTCATTGTCAGTGTTTTATCGCAAACTGACATCAGCTATGATGCGAAAAATACTTTGTAACCATATGAATGAATGAATAAATTTAGAGTAACAATACGAGAAGCTCTATCTGATTAGTTCGTCTAATAAAATGTACTGCCACTAGGTTAATGCTCGTTTCAGGACTATTGGGGGTTTATAGGAAGAAGTAAGTGTTACTGGAAAATTGAATGTTATATGTAATATACAATGACAGAATTATTATTATTATTATTATTATTATTATTATTATTATTATTATTATTATTATTATTATTATTATTATTATTATTATTATTATGAATGACTTTGTTTACCATTATATTTTTGGTAAAATATGGAATTATCAGTACACATTATTTCAACAGGTTTCCTTTTCTTATTTCTTGATCGATCCTGACGATAAATATTGAAATCTTGTAGTCATACTGAGCAATTGTCTAGTGAATCGGTAACTAGTATTCTTAAATTGCAATTACGTCATAATCGCGATACATGTTTAGACTTGATAGATATTGAAGATAGTCCACCTTGTTAATCAGTGATCGTCAGCTAAATGTTAGCAGTTCAGAAATCAACATCTGAATAATATTCATTCTTTTCAATGTATATTGTGAGTCATCACGATGTCTCTGACTGTACTGTTTTATAAGTTGTACAGCTAAAGGTCGTAAATTTCATAAATGAGCCTGAATAGGTTATGCCATTAATAGACATATTAATGTGTTAAAACAAACAAAAACAGATAATTTGTTGAAATATCTAGATGATATGAACAAGTAGTCCAGATATTCAAGTAGGCCACCAATGAATAGAGCATCCGATAGTTCAATATTAACAACATTTTTACTTTATAGTGTCAAAAAGTAATTCTTCCCAATCGTTTGAAATGTTACGGAAAATGTAAAGAAGTATTTCTAGTACTCGTTACAAACGGTATAGGGATTTCATGAAAAAACCTCAAAGTTCAGTCCTCGTTATTCAATGGCTCGTCTCTATTTTGTACATATACCGGTTTTATTCTCAAAAAATGATTTATAACTATAACCTGAGAACACTGAGAGGTCATTCCGTCACAGTACGAGACCCCTCATCATTGCTTATCCACAAACACGCATGCTGAACCCGAACCCAGGAGCCTTGGCATCGCTAGTGAACACTCAGCCGGCATCCAACGGTGTTTATGTTTAACTTCAACCAATCAACGGTCCTGCGCGATGGTCCACCATTGTCTTCAGAGAGTAACTTTCTCTACAACAGACACAGTCGAGCAATCAAACTGATCTGGAATACAGTTATCAATTTCTTTTTTAACGTATTTATAATTCGTCAATCAGCACAAAATATTATTGGGATGATGAGGAATAATGTTAAGTATACTGAAGTTGAGTGAAGTATATTCGTTCAACGAGGTGGTCTTCACCAGATTAATCAATTTCTATTACTATGTAGTGTCAGTCATTATATTAAGCCCATATACCTTATTCTAGCTTTCGGACATCCTATTTTATTCATTCTACTCGAGCCATACTTTGACCTTTTTATTTATTCACTTATCAACGTAGACTGTTTTTATATGAGCGTATATGCGTGTGCCCTTCTTATTCCATTAATCACATGTCTGTAGCTTTGTTTTGTTTGACTATAAATATTTGAGTAACGTTTGGCTAAAATGGAGTTGGCTTCTCAGCCATCTTCCCTGCGTGTCGTTTTTCTATGCTCTATTTTATTCGCTTCATATACAAAATATGTGTATTCCCAAATCAATTCTCGTTATTCGACTTATATAATTCCGTTATTGGCTAACGCGATTAAGTCGATGATTATATACGAGAATAGGCGATAACAAACATTTGTACGATCTAAATAGGAGTCAGATCCACGGGCCACTAAAATGGTAACCCCGACGTGAGAACAGGAATTGACGGGCCACTAAAATGGTAAGCACCTCGA